TAATTTATCAAAGGTTCACAAGGGTGGGAGGGTGGGGGGGAGAGGGGAAAAAAGAGGAGCTGATTCCAAGGGGTCAAGTAGAAAGAAAATGTTTTGGAAATGTTGATGGCAACATATGTCCAAGTGTACTTAATACAATTGAGTGATGGGTTGTTGTAAGATTTATAAGATCCCCCAATAAAATGATTAATAATCATAAAAAAGAATATGTCACAGTAGAAGTCTTATTGCTAAGATGAAAAAGAAAGTAATAAATAGTCATAAATGATTTAATGCTAGAGGAGAATCTCCTTATTAATACAATGCTCCCGGAAGTCCTTACCATTGCCTAGTTCCCAAGACATTTGATAGCCCTTGGAAGAGCAGTAGTCAAGCAGCAAGCGTGCATTAGAATTGTTCCAGTGCAAATCTGACGTTCTCAATAGCGCGTTCAGGCCAAAGATCAGGTCCAGTCCCGAGCAATTCGCAAAAGTGTACAGCATATCCACGGAGCTTCCTGGAAGAAGATGGAAAGATGTTGCAGCTTCATGGTAACTAGTTGGCACCAGCTGCTCTCTGCGGGGAAAGAGGAGGCTCTCTACTCCTGTGACGTGTACAATCTCGAAAATGCAGGAGGTCGTTCTACCCTGCTCTCCGGGGTGGTATGAGTTCAAATGCACCCCTGTAAAGATCTGCTGTTCTTATTAATTACTGTTTCTGTTGTCAGATTTGCTGTAGTGCTACTGAGCTGGGCTGTGATCCGCAAGGTTGGCAGTTGGAAACCACCAGCTGCTCTGCCAGGAAAGACGGGTTTTCTTCTCCTGCAGAGTCGCCGGCCCAGAAACGCCCAGGGGCAACTCCACTCCGTCCTACAGGGTCACCGCAGGTCTGCCCCGACTCCACAGCGGTGACTTTGTTTTGGGGGCGTTTAATCCTAATGCATAACTGTACTATAATGATATCAAGATATAATTACACCTATAATTATTTTCATGATCATATAATTATAGGTATAATTATATCTATAATTATTTTCATGATCATATAATTATAGGTATAATTATATCTATATATTTTTTATGATTATTAATCATTTTATTGGGGGATCTATAAAAATTATAGATATAATTATATCTAACACAATTGGAAGGCAAATTTAAAAAATCAACCTGATTTCATTTGCTTGGCCTGGTCCACGGAAGGCCCTAGAAGCTTTGACCTGGCACTCTTCTTCATAGTCTAAATATCTTTCCTCACTCACTTGGTTACAAATTGTTTCACCTTGTTTAGTGTCTTCATCTCTCTCACTGTTGCATTTTTGCAGTATTGAAAAGAATTCACTGATTATTTTTATTATTACAATTTAATCCATTCCAATCTCTCTCACTGCCTCTCTAATTCACCAAGTACTTGACCAAGAAGTATATCCTACCCAAGTAGTTAGTTCAAGGATAGTTTGTTGGCCTTTAGGAGTGGAGGATAACAAATTTATCTCATACTTGGTTTATTAACTTAAAATGAAATAGAATATCAATTATGGGTGATGTTTGCACAACTGATTAATGTAACTAAACAGTACACCTGAAAAAATCTTGTGTTAGCAATGCTGTAATATATATATGTATATGAACATATATGTATATGAATATATATGTATATACATATGTGTGCATGTACATATATGTACACACACACATATATATATACACACACATGTATACATATCCACCCCTGCCACCACCCAAAGCAGCTGTTAAGGCTGCTAATAATGTATAACCAAACACCAGATGGAATTTGTCATCATGGTTTGGAGAGTTAGAATAATGTTTCTGAGGGACATTGCAATCAATTGGCATCGTGCTGTTCTTTCTGCTTGACCTATTTTCTTGAGTGACGACTGAGGGCTTCAAAGCTAGCAAGTAAGCATCCAAAGTACAGCAATTGGTCTTTTAAAAAAAATTATTTTATTGGGGGCTCGTACAATTCTCATCACAATCCATACATCCATCCATTGTGTCAAGCA